GTCAGAACATGGTATATCATGCTTAGGTGGAAACTAGCGAGCTAACTTCCTGCTAACTTCTAACTCCCTTAAGTTTAATACATTCTGTTTTCATTGATGCCTGGATGTTAAAGTTGATTGTTACACCTAGAGCAGCAACACTGATCATTTTATTAAAGATGAAAGAATTTAGACAGTTTTTAACTCTCAGTTAAAAAGTCAAACAGTGTTTGTTTGACTTTGGGATGTGAAGCGGAGTTTATTCTGCAAGGCTTCTGACTACAGTAGCCGTAATCCACCAAGCGGTCTCCAGAGGCCTGGTAATGAACCAGTCAATTGATTCAGGTGTGTTGACCCAGGGTGATATCTAAAACCTGCAGGACACCGGCCCTCGAAGCCTGGAGTCGCACACCCCAGCTCTAGGAGCAGAAACGGGGTTTGTAGGAGAGTTTTCTGCCTGCTGTTGCAGCTCCGTGCCTGCAGGGAGCAGCGCTGCTTCACCTCTCTCCCCACCTCTGCATTAACATCTGACTCTTGCTCTTGCAGAACCTCGGTTACACTCCAGACTTTGTCCAGGTTGCTCTGGCTCCCTTCATCAATGACATCCACAGGAAAGGTGAGTAAACAGCACAGCGGGAAGTGTGTTTCCATAGCAACAGTTGATCTCGTGATGAACGACAACCTCCTCTCTCATCAGGTATCCGCGTGGTCAGTAATGCGGGTGGCGTGAACCCTCTGGCCTGCGCTGAAGCCATACAGGAAGTAACCAAGAAGGCCGGCCTTGACCTCAAGGTCGCTGTGGTGACCGGTGATGACCTCATGCCTCATGTAATGCGCCTCCTCTGACATCATCACTCCCTATTTAGTGTGATTGATTAAACATTTAATCCTCTCCTTTCTTCTTCTCTTCTCTCAGAGGAGCAGCCTGTCTGACGTAAAGATGCCGGACGGCAGTGGCAGACAGCAGCTGCCTAAAACGCTGCACAGCATGAATGCCTACCTCGGGTACGGACGCCCTGCTTCGTGTTACAGATTTCAGCTGCAGCCCAAACAGCTGCTGAAAACCTCTGCCATGTCTCCGTTTCCAGGGCCGACCCTATCCGCCGCTGCCTTGACCTCGGAGCGGACATCGTGGTGACGGGACGCTGTGTGGACAGCGCCGTGGCCCTGGGGCCGCTCATGCACGCTGTAGGTTTTTAATTTCTAACATTTATTGGAATTCTTCCAGCATTTCTCCAAGAAGGGATCACACTTTGTCATCCTGCTGCACATTTTTGTTTTTTCTTTCCCTTTTGGACATCATGAGAGCCACAGCGAGGGTCAGGAACGAGCAGGCGTGGAAACAGCTGCAGTTCCGTTAGTGGCCACTTGAGGCAGACTTGATTCAAACACACTTATTTATTTACCTTCTACCAACAATCTGTTCGTGTGTTTGCTTGAGTCGACGCCAGAGACGTGATGTCTGTGTGTGTCTCTTATCTGCTGCAGTTTGGATGGGAGAGAAACGACTACGACCTGCTGGCAGCTGGAAGGTACACACACACACACACACACAGAAACACACATAGACATGCACAGACACGCACACACACAGACATGCATGGACACACACGCACAGACAGTGGTATTTGTGACACTATGTTTATTGTGAATTAAGATTAAAGTTAACAAATAAAATACCAAAAAGTTGCAATAAAACAAAAATTTAAATTAAGACTCCAAACTGTTAAAAGCCACAAACAGTGAAGCTGAGTAAATTACAATTAAGGTTTTGCAAGTAAATACAATTTAAGTAATGTTATAATTTTTTTATAATGCAGTTAATACGATTATATTTTATTATTATTAATTAATATAAAATATAACAATAACATTTGAGGAAGTCCAAACTGTATTTTTAAAAAGTGAAAATCAAATATTTTTTTAAAAAGTAAGAAAGATAAATGATGTTTTAAAAGGCTGTAAAATATTTAAATATTTAAAAGCAAGAAGAAAGTTACACTTGTTCCAAAAAATACTGAAAAAACTACAAAAATGTAAAATAATGTTTCAAAAACCTATAAATAAATTCAATTACAATTTAATGCATTAAAACTAAAATATTATTTTATATATTTAATAATATGGGTTACAAACACAACACAAATTAGAACAAAGCTAAATAAGGTTGACAGCAAAAACAATCAGGATTTAACTGAATAAAATTTAAGTTTGGTGATTAAATTTTCTATTCTGAACAAACGTTCGAAGATAAAGAAATGATTCTTCAAATTGTTTTTTATGATATTTGCTTGCGATGAAAATACTGTTTAAACCATCTCTGAACTTCAGATCATTTTGGTATATAGTCGTTGTTTTCTGTGTTCCAGTCTCGCAGGTCACCTGATCGAGTGCGGCGCTCAGAGCACAGGAGGCATCTTCACAGACTGGCATAAAGTTCCCGATTGGTAAGAATTTTATGGTTTTCAACACACTTCTCAAACCAGATCTGTGAATACAGCTCACGGGGTCAGAGAGTCAATGTTTGAATTATTTTCTTCACTTTTAAAGGTTTAAATGAGTAAACGGTAAGTTTTTACTTTTCAGACTGAGTACAAACTGTGAATGAAAGTTTTGAGAACAGTTTCAGAATAGATCCAGTTTCAGTCGTAGACTCAAACAAAGTTTTTTGCTGGCTTGACTTTGACAACTCTTTGATAACTTTCAGCATGATATTACCTAATGTATCTGTAATGTAATGTACCTAATTACCTAATTATCTGTCAGAGACATTTAACTACACATTTAATATGTTAATGTGAATTTCAGCA